TATTAAGATTGCAAAACTTGATACCTCAAGCACATGGTCTTTTATTTGGTTTTACAGATTTTTCGCAGGATTGTTGAACTTGTAATGGATTATTCTTAGATAAGTAAAGGTTCAAAGTCACTTCTGCCACCACAGCTATAAAGAAAGGACTCAGGAGTTAAAAAAGTTCTTTGTGGTCTCACTCGTACACAGCAAAGTGTAGAGGAATCTTTAAAGGCTTACAGATGATCATATGTTTCACAGTTTAGACCAGACACCGTCAACCAGAGAAGCGATAAACCCTCCGTTAAGATCTTAGTCTTAACAGTTCACTCACTGATGTTTATTCTACAAAATGTGTTAATAGTGTTTTAATAGTGTGAAATCCTGAATGTCTCCAGTTGTAATTAACATCAAAATAAACTAAAACTAAAAGGGAACTGACAGCTGATTGATTGCTTAATAAAAACACGTTTTCCATCTCCTCTTGTCTTCAACCACTCGACTGTGCCTCAATTGACTGTAAATGTGAGGATTCCACCTGTGACCTGGAGTCTCTGACTCAAGGCTGTGGCCCTCATTGTTTCTTCACAGGTACTTTGTGCTCCTGGACCGGTGCTACGCCTCAGTGTCTCCGCTGCCCTCCAACGACACCTCCTTTAATCTGTTTGTCTCGTAAGTCACAAAACACCTTAAAACATTTTGCAAAGAAAGTGTGAGCTGTCCACCTTTTGTAACTCTTAAGTTTCTTCCAGTCCATCAAGGCCTGATAATGAGCTCCGTCTCTCGTTCCAGCAGTCCAGCTTTAAATTTAAACCATATATACCTGCAGCTTTTCCTGTCGTCCGTGTAATGAGTAAACCACAGCTACCTCTAGATTCAAAGAGAGCCCTAGTCTTGATTTCAACTCCCTGCCTTTCTATCATTAATACACTGCTTGTATGTATCCGTGTGCAAATTGGGCATTTGTGAGGTACGCCTTTTATTGAAAGGTGCTCCGTAGATCAGCTGACCACCATGCTGGAGAACGGGGATAGCCAAAAGGCCCGCTTCTACTTCCCAGTGTTCCGCTTCATCGAGCAGCAGAACGAGACCATCTCCACCTACTATCTGCACTGCATTACCCGGCTCTGTGAGCGCAGCACCTGCAGCACCTTCAAGGTACAGGAGGGTGCAACATGCATTTCAAGCAGCAATGTCCAGTTCCAGCCAGATCCTTCTTTACTCAAAGTCTGCTCTGATCCACAGAGATGCAGCAGGAAGAGGAGGAGTGTGGAGACCACGGTCATCCAGGACGGCATCACTGAGCCATCTGTGCTCACAGTGGCTATAAGGGCCAAGACAGACAGCTGTAAGTCCTCTATGTGTCCTTATCTGACGGCATTCTGAAATGAAGAACATGTAAATGGCCAAAACACGAGCCCTTTAACACTCAGATGGGGAAGTTATCATAGAAACTATTTCAAGTTAAAATTAGTCAATAGAAAAATAATTGGATTCCTGCTTTTAATCTGTTATTAATCATCTTAATCAACAAACTTTCAGGAAAGTACAGTTTGTCTGCTTTTCTT